TTTGGAATATGATAAAATTGCTCAATTAATTAATAAATGAGTTTCCATGATTTTTCTAGGCTTAATTAATTATCCAAAAAATATAAAAATTGTTTTGCCTCTTAGTTATCATGTGATGAACTTTTACAAAAATTTTGAGCTCAATTGGAACAAGTTGATTTATTTCATAATTTTTAATTAAATAATTAATTCATAAAAGCAAATAGTAACCTTTAATGATTTAGGTTTTGATTGAATTTTGGATTGAGTGATGACCTTGGGTCATTAGTTGATAATGATCCTTGGCAATGGAATTAAGTATTACGAAAAAGGTTTAATTAATTTGACTTGTAACTGTACCGCGAAGGAAAGTTGTATTCAAGTTGTTAATTTTGCATCCATCATCGAGCATCATGTTTTATATCTCGCATCATGTTAAACATGGCATTGTTACTATGTGTAGTGAACGAAGGTGAGCACGTGGTAGTTAATCAAATTGTGGAAGAGGTTAATCCGTCTGTTGAGCTTGGAATTGAGATAGGTGGAACAACTCCGGAACCTAACTTTTCCGTCAACGAAGGCAAGCTCCGGATGCATTTAAACATACGTTGTGTTTTACAAATTTATATCGCTTTTGCTTTTCAGTACTGCATTAAGTGATTAGGAGTTGAGTGAGAACCTAATTGGTGCATTACCAACCTTGTTTTTTCATATCTACCTTGTTACTAGTTTTAATTCGTATATGCCTAGTTATGCTTAGCTATGCTTATAACGATGAAAGTCGGGTGATTACCTGCCACCTGCGAATTTCAAATGGATCTTTGGTTACGCTTGGTTACTTATGTTATCATGAGATATGAGCATGTGGAGTAATAAATCTAGACCGGACGAACTCGGTGTAGGGGAGCCACAAGACATGGAGGTCTTGTGAGCAGGTTCTTTCTGCCCATGTCGATTAAGAAACTGTCCGTTGTTGAACTGCATGAGGTGAGACTTTGTAGTACTAACCACATACTCCGGTAAACCTTAACTTGGCTATTATATTACGAGAATGACTACTCGCGCACTAGAAGTGGAGAGATAGCGGGAATAGCGTGTACCCACGTGGCAATGGGCTGGATTGGTGGAGTACTGTATTCTCGGGTGGCGCGGACTCGTTCTTGTTTTAGAGGATCCGAGGGTAGGTTGATATATGTAAGTCGGGGACCTGCATATGTCGTGTGGTCTGGAATCCCCAGCTGGGTTTAATCGGTTCGAATCGTCGTTGCTCCTCGGTTATGGAGACTCAACTCACTGTTCGTCATCGTAGTTAATAACTGGAACTCGAGTAAGGTTGGAGAAAGAGTTTGATATGAAGTTCATGATCTCATTACGGATCATGGCAGATTCATATGTGGTTCTTATAAAGTTTTATATGTTGAAGTAAATAATTTTGTTAAAGAGCCTTTACGCAAAAGAACTTTGATTATTGCTAAAGCCATATCTTGAATCCCTGAGCCTGCATTCCTGCGTTCTATCAGTTTTTATTTTCGGTTAAGTCTTGTTGAGTACTTTTGTACTCAGGGTTCGTTGACCCTTGTTGCAGGTGAGGCTCATGAGCAGGTCTGCTTTGGACTGTGCTGCATGACTGTTGTTCAATGCGATGACGATAAGAAAATGCGTGGCCCTTGGGCAGGGCACTTTATTTGTGTGTTTGTATTATGTTACTAATGCCACTCCACTACTATGGTTTGTAATATTAATCGAACTTAGTTTGTAAGATTTGAAATAAATATTTTGTAAACTAAGTTATTGTAAGACTTGCGCTATATTACTCTGATGTATCTATTTGAATAAACTGTTGTAATACTGCAATGACTCTGTAATGGGATCCTGCTCGAAAATCGTGGATGATTCGGGGTTCCTCGAGGACACCCGACAGTCTTCTTAAGTTATCGGGAACACATGCATAGTCATCAGAGGTCATTGGACAGTGACAGGTGCATGTTGGCCCTATAATTTAGGAGGTTCTGCCACACTTAGCTTCCTCCATGGCTATGTGCAAGCTTTTCTCTCCTCCACGGCGTGCGGGCGCGACGCGAGTGTCCTGCAGACGCACGGTGCAGCGCGAGCGTCTTGTGGCGGGACGGGAGGACACGGTGGGGGCTCGACGCAAATGTCTTGTAGTGGCACGAGGCGACACGAATGGCCTGCAGTGGTGCCGCGGCGCGGCGCTAGAGGCCTGCGGTGGCTCGGCATGGGAGGTGTCTGCGTGGGACTGAAAGGTGCCCACTCCAGGTGAACTTCCTGCTGTAGCCGAGCTTCAACTTTCGCTCGTGCCTGCCACGGCCGCCTGGCTCCCCGCCTGCACTAATGACTGCCGTCAAGCCGGCCTTTGCGTCCCGAGGACGCTTGAAAATCATGGGCTCGCGGCCACGCAAGAGGACTGCAGTATGTAGAGCTGCTGAACAAGGCCCTCCAAGGTCCAGATCCTAGCAACGCGAAACCGAGTGGCTCGCCGCGACGAGCTAATGTGGCACTCCACCGAGCCCCACGGCAGGTGGCGGCGCACGGCTTTGCCAGGGCACGGACGGCAGACAGCGAGGCACTGATGGGGCCACGGGCGGTGGCGAACGCCAGGCGCAGCGACAGGCTCTGTGGGAGGCGCGGCTTTGCTAGGGGCCGCATGCGGCAGGCAGCGGTGGTGGAGTCTAGACCGAGCGGAGCTTGTGTTTTTTTGGCGATGGTTGTGGAAAGGAAAGCGTGTTGCTTTTTTTCCATGGCCCTGGAACCGCTGCTGGCATTGTGATGCAAACGCTACTATAAACAACTTTGAGCAGGCAAATTAGCATGGAACAATCAAGCACCAAACCCCACAAATGCTCTTTGGTTCCTCATAATATCTAATTGGTAAGTTGGTCATTTCATGTACCACTTAACGCCGTTAGAGGCCACAGCTGACGGTAAGGCCAGATTAGAAATCAAAAGTTCAAGTGAGGCCTAATAGATAAGAAAATTTGTTCCAGGGCAAAAAAAAAAAGAAAAGCAAGTTTCAATCAGGACCAAATAAGAAATTCTTTCAATTTTTTCTCCGGTTGCTGCGGTGGTGTCAGTCAAAGGGAAAGAGATGAGAGAGAAGAATGGATTCTGTAAACAGTATAGCTACCGTGCCCGCTGCAGTACTGAACGACAGTACGCGGGCTTTCACTGTGGTTTGGCCCGGTTAATTGGGTGAAATTTGGGGATGGAGACATTTGGGGCTTGTTTTCACGTGCCGCTTTTTTGTTTTTGTGGAATACTGATTATATTTTATTTTTCCACAAAATACTACTAATTATTACCAACTTAATGCTACCCAAGAATGGAAGTTAGTTAAAGTCGTTCCACGAGAAGACTGAAAGCTCCATTACATTTTTGTAGTATATATCCATACGAAAGTGTATTAATAAATAAATTACGCAAATGCTCAACTACGAGTGTCCGTTCCACGTCGGTCAGTCCGGACGTGGCTAGCTGGGTTGCTGACCGGCTCATAGGCCTGCTCCCCTCATCCGCATACACGGTTTCTCCAAAAAATAAAAAAGAGAGCGACATCTTGTCTTCCCCATTCGCATCGGCTCCACCGTACCGCCCGCCCTTCGGTCGCGTACACACGAGCTCTGCTAGCGCCCGCGTCCGCAGGAGCGCTGCCGCCGTCCGCATACGCAAGAGCATCGAGCGTCGCCGCTAGCCGCGTACGCACGAGCTCGACCTGCCGCGTTGCGTCGCCCGCCCGTGCTGAGGGAAACCGCTGCCGCCTCCACCACAGGGGGCGGACGCCTGGTCGGCGGCCAGGAACACCTCCGCCTCCGGCTGCCTAGCTCGTTGCGGCGGGTGTGGAGCTCACCTGCGTGCTGCTCACGGCAGCCCGGGTGGTCCCTGCCCACGCACATCTCGCGCTCGCCTACCCAGTTTGCCGTGGCCGGGGCGGAACTCGCCGCGTGCAGCCCACAACGGCTGAGATAGAACTCCACACGTCGAAGAGGATCCATTCTTCCAAACAGCAAGGAGATGTTGCGCTGAAACTGCATGTTGCAAGCGTCTATTTCAGGTGTTTCAAATGTTTCAGAGGTATGTTGCAAGTGTTTTATATCGATGTTGCAAAAGTAGATCGGTATGTTGCACATGTTGCAATGGTTTTTTCAAGTGTATATCTCAAATGTTTTATTTGTTTCAGACAAATGTTGCAAGTGTTTCATCTGTATGTTGTAAAAGTAGACCTGTATGTTGTATATACATGCATGTTGCAAGCGTATATTTTAAGTGTTTCAGGCATTTCATACGTATATTGCAAGTGTTTTATCTGGATGCTGCATATGTTGTGCAATGGCTACAAACGTGTTTTTCTAGTGTTTCAGACGTATGTTGTAAGTGTTTCATCTAGATGTTGCAAAAGTAGATCTTGATGTTGCATATGTTACGGCCACCTGCTGCAGCTACTGGGTCCGCCTGCATGCACGTGAGTGTGGAGGGGGTGCCACGGTGCGGGTGCGGGACACGACGCGCGTCCAGGCCATGGTGCGAGCGCGGGACATGGCGCATGCGACGGACCTAGGGAAGCAGGCGCATGCGCGGACGTCCAGATGCTAGACGTTTCATAATAAAAATTATAAGAAAATAGGAGTCAGACATGGTTCTACACATCATCTCTATTTCGTTACGTTGGACGCTAGATAAACAATATAGCCACGCGTGCCCACAGCTGATATATCCTTATCCTATATGATACATGTGCAGCACGAGTGGCTTCGGTTATGTATTAATGCACACAAGATATCGGAAGAACTCAGAATTGGTTTCAAAGATACGCACATTGGAAGCACGTAAAATTGGTTTCAGTTATATAGCGATGCGCACAAAGATACTATCGGAAAGATTAGTGCGTGCAAAAGCGCACCATATAGTCTAGCTTATATATACTGCCCGATATAATCTGCTTGTATACCTCAACCACATCCCATCTTATTTACCAGTGTCGACCTTGAACGAGAACAAGTACGGCCATGGCAGGCAGGAGGACGACGGGGCTGCTCTGCGCGGCGTTGCTGCTGCTGCTCTGCGTGTCCGAGCGCTTCCAGGGCGCTACCTGCGGCGGTGGAGGGGGCGAAGGTGGAGGTGGTGGGAGGGGAGGCGGTGGCGGTGCAGGCGCCGGTGAAGAAGGTGGAGAAGGAGGGACCGGTGGAGGAGGCACCAGTGAAGACGGAGGAGGGAACGGCTGGGGCTGGCTTGGGATTCCTGACGGGACGGCCGCTGCCGCCGGGCCGGTACCCGATGAGAGCGACGCACCTTGCCCCGCCGCCTGGAGAGTCTACTGCGCCGGCGCCGTCCTTGTTGTGGCCGCTGCGCTTGTCTGGTGATGATTTAATTTATTAATTTAGTACTGTAATTAGGAGTGAGTTAGTCGTAGCAGCTTGGTACTCGTAGAGTACAACAGTACAAGTATCACTTCACCTCTAAAAGATCGAATGAGTTTGATCAAATGAGCCATTGTTTTTATAGATTAAAGATACGAAGGCACGCCGAATCGGTGGCCTCCCAGTGTGTCTACGTACGTTCTGTTTAGTTGGTGCGTTAGATAGAAATTCCACGGCTCAGATGAAGCACGTCACAACCGGTCTTCCTCCGTGCATTCGGCAGTGGACAGATGAAGCAAGTGGACACATTCAGTGAAGTAGATGAAAAATTAAATGGCCATACATGCAAGGACAATGTACTTTGCGTGCCGGAGGATGCAGAGGCGTCGACAGAGCTGGGCTCCACCATGGTCATCTCGTGTAAAATGATGCTCCTTCCTCTTTCTCTCTCTCTCTTGTAAATGGCTGGCGGCAGCAGCTGCTTGCTCCTCTACTCCCTCCTTCACTCTCCACAGCGGCGCAACAGCTCTGGCGCGGGCAGGCGGGTCCGGCGCAGCGGCCACCGGCACAGGAGGCCCCCAGCGCGGGTGAGGCCTCGCTCACGCTCCCGCTCATGGGTGGCCGGCGTGGTGGCCCTGGCTCAGGCGGTCCGATGCGGCGGCGCAACGGCACGGGGGCGGCCGGAGATGACGGAGGCTGCACGTGTGGACCGCTTTAGGGCCTCTTCCTCTCCCCTGGCGGCGGCGGCGGGCGGCCTGCCTTGCCAACGGTTGCGCGCCGGACCAGCCGAGGAGCGGCTTCCCACCCTGAGCTTGCAACCATGGTGAGCGATGCCACCCATCTGTTCCTCCCTACTGTTTAGCGCTCGCTCGCTTTCATGCAGATCTGTACCACCGACGCGCCGTTTTTGCTTGGCCGGCGTAGCTCCGCTGCTCTTTCTGTCCTTTGCTCTGATCTTCAATTCCATATAACACGCTCAGGCGGATCTGTAGATTTTTTTGGGTCCTACGCACTATGAAGGTTGCCTCATGGTCTCCTATCCTACGACCTTCTGCAGTAGTCGCTTCGTACCCTGCGTATGTCTCCTTCGACCATGGCGACCTCCGTCCACGAGCACTCCGCCGCCACGACCTCGAGACCTCCACGAACCGCGCTGCCTAAAACAGCAGGCACGAACCAGCGCCGGCCTTGGCCACGTCCTCCTCTGCGAGAACCCTCGCCATTTGGTATGTGCTCTTGAACAACCAAAGAATCATGGAATTAGATAAGAATAATCAACGTGGAATGATTCAGTCATGTGAGGAATAGTTAGCATCCTTGGTGATACCAGCACGCGTAGTGGATTTTAGTAGATTTCTTCCAGAATTTTATCCATGGAATGCTATTGTCTCCTTTCTTTTCATTCAGCGACCAAGATTAGAATGGATTTTTCAAGGTGCTACAAACATGTCTCTTTTAGGATTGCTGCTCGCCTGCTCCTGGTCCTACTGTTCACCCAATGAGACCTCCCGGTCCTCTCCAAGAAGGTGACCTTATCTGATAGGCTATTACAACCTTATTGTTAGGTCAAACATTCATCTTAATTTGGAGACTTGTCAATAACCTCAGTCCAATAATATTTTGCTTCAGCAGGATATGCGGAATGGAATGCGTGGCCTAAAATCAGGGCTCACTTTTTTTGTTCCATATTTTGCATCCCGTTTTTAGCAATAATTCATTATCATTGCCATTTTTTATGCAGCACGCTACTATGGCTTGCTTTGTGTAAATAACTAATCTGCATTACTAATGGAGGATGCAGCGTGTGTACATGACCACAAAATCATATAAACGAAAGATCAGGACTTAGGTTAGGTTCTCGCGTGTCATTTTGCATGGAAGGAATTGACGGCTTGATTTCTCCTTTTAGGTTTAATCGCAGAGAGGTCAGCACAAATCTCAGAGATGGGAATGCTGGCAAATGTAAATTCAGTTCTGACATTGAACTAGAAAATTTATGTTCAAGATGCATGACTTTTTTTTATCATAAACTTGTGGTTCGGTTTAGCCTCAGATTCCTAGGTTCCATCACCTAGATTGGCTTTATGAAGCCTGGACTGAACACTAAAACTGACAATATGTATCATGTTCAAGCAATGTTACATGCCAATGGCGTTGCAGTCAAGGAAAACTCCATTTGCGGAGTGTCAGAACGATTTCATGTGAGTAGTTGCAGCACCATCTCTTCATGGTTGTATGGAGGGACCCTGATTTCAATGCCTTTGGTCTCAAGGTTTAAACATGGTGTCCCTGTTGGTCTGTGCATATTTTGAGTTCATATCAAACATTGTTAACCGATTCTTTTGCAGGACCCAATGGCCCAACGAATTGCTATGTTGATGCTGAGTTTTCTATATACTCCTTCATATGGTTAGGCCCTTTCACTTCTCAAGTTCGTGCTATGAATTTTAGTATTTTTTGTGTGTTAAGGTTGTGATAGAGTCCCAACTACACGTGGTCCGAATAAATTGGTGGATGAACCAAGCGTGAAACATCAAAGCAAAAAATAAAAATAAAAATACTTAGGTGTGCACGAGGATTACATTGAAAAGTACGTTTCCAAGCATAGGTCCATAATCCTATCACCATGTCTAAACTGATTTACATGACAACACCGGTACAATGTCTCATATAGTACATGAATTATATGCAAAACTTACTGCAACTTAGCTTCATCATGTCACCATGTTCATTTCAGTACTCGCCTGTAATCTCATGTTTTTAATATTGATCTATCCTTACGTACTGTGAAATGCTATGTGCCATTATTTTTGATGGTGCAGCACATTGTTTACTTGCTATTAATATTTTTAGGATTTACCTATATCCAACTATCTAACAGTGAAGGATATAAATTCTTACAGCCTTACAGGTTTTCCGATGAATCATCTTTTGTAGACTATAACAAATTAGAGATATAAAGGCACACCGAATCCGAATCGGCGGCCTCTCAGGGTGTCCACGTACGTTCTATTTAGTTGGTGTGTTAGATAGAAAATCCATGACTTAGATGAACTGCGTCACAACCGGCCTTTCTCCATGTATTCGGCAGTGGATAGATGAAGCAGGTGGACGCATTCAATGAAGTAGGGCTTCCCTGGTGGTTGTACGTGGCACGCAAATGGACGGTGGCGCGTATGGATTCTCGGCATACATGGCCGGTGCCTAATTAGCATGGTGGTCGGCACGCATGCGAGTACGCGTGCGTGCATGCTGCTGGGGCCTTGCTTGCTTTGCATGCATGCATGAGCTATCTGTTTGCGTACTTTGCATGTATGTTGGGGCCTTGCTTGCTTGCTTCCCTGTGGGTGTGCTTTACATGTAAAAAGTTACTATGGTACGGGGATTTACATTACTGTGCTTTCACGTTTCCTTTACCAATGTTATGCTTTGAATCTAAGTGTGTTAGTTGCTTGAGCTCAACTCCATCAAATACTTCTTTCCACTAACATGTCATTGATTTGCTGGTCTAGAATAGAAACCATGTAATGACAACCAACCTCTATGTTGGTTTACAACATTGTAATGAAAAAAACCATGTTATCTTTCCTTCCCATATTTTCCCATTTAATGTACCAAATAGACCAAACTTTCGTAGAAACGCGATGAGAAAACATATTAGACATATGAGCTATATTTCCCAAGATTTTTCCTACACCAAGCACATCACCCGCAGCGAAGCGCGGGCAGCAATGGCTAGTATAGATTATTGCCTTTCAAACTTTGAGCTTTTCAAAATTGCCACCTAAAACATGGACTTTGTGAAATCGTTATCCATAATATTGACATCTCCGATTATGATCGGTAGTAACTTAATACCCTTTCTCTCTCTTTTTCATGTATTGCCTAACAAGGCAGTACTCTTAGAGCAACTCCAAGAGACTCAGTAAAATCTTATATGCAATCTATATTTTTGAGTTTTAGTCTACAAAACACATCCAACAGTCTCACTATGCCTCCTCCACCTCCACCTCCGCGGCCGCTCCGACACTGACACTATAGGCTTCAGTGCCAGGCTATGTTAGGGCTGTGCTTTTTCGAACCATTACCATACCGGCCCATCGTGCCTGGTCCATTTGACCAACTAGAGCTGGTAGTCAGATCTTTACCCTGTTCGTTTGGCTGATAAATTATGGCTAAAAGTATTGTTGGCTGATTTATTGTGAGAGAAAAATATTGTTCGTTGGCTGAAAAATTACGGCTTATAAGCCGCTTGCAGTTCGCTTTGGTAGTCGATCTTGCAGTTCGCTTCGGCATACTTCTCGGTTCTCGCCAACCGTCGTGAACAGCGGATAGGCGTCTCTCTGTACTGACCTTTTCTTTTCTCTGAATGAACCAATGAAACCCGTGCAAAGCAATTTCGCGAAAAAGAAAGAAAGGACCGGTGCATTTTTATACGAAAGTGTATATTAATATGAATATAAAAAGATAGGAGTCGACATGGTTCTACAGATCAACTCTATAAATAAACACTATAGCCACGCATGCCCAGTTGCCCACAGCAGATATCCTTTGATGCGTACTCGTCCGTGACGCGCGCCCTCGCATGCGCCGGTAAATCACCTAGTTAAGGCTATAGGAAAAAATATGTTTAATCTTTGCATAGAAACAATATTAGGAGTTTAATGTAGATATGTCATGCACAAAAAAGAAAGATTGGAGCTTTTTTTATATGGTGCAAGACACATCTACTCTGCATACTTTTAAAATCATGACATTTTCTATGCGTGGTAATCATAGACACGACATTTCCAGATCATACACATCTGAATCTCGCATGTGAATGGAGCCTATTAGGAAATTCTAAAATCTTGGAGAGTAACAATGCTCATACATTTAAGCAAATTTGAGTTCCATTCCAAAGGAAAACAAATCATAGCAGCACAAACCTTATTTTGTCAACTGAGCTAGAGACTGTAAAAGAGGTCGAATAAGCACATTCTAACCGATTACCTTTGCAGCAC